CGATTCGAGTTTTCAGTTTTACGTTTCTACAATAAAAAACTCTCAGAAAAATATCACATCTAACTTTTTCTGCTACAGTAAAAAACTATCAGAAAATATTACATCTCAACTCGAATTAAAAACTCAAATCCGCGAAGTAAACGAGACCTTTATATGCTAACTAGCTATCGCATTCAATATCTCATCCACAAATGACCCACAAAAATGTTCCAAGTAAAACAAAGCAAGCATCAATTCAAAGGTAACTTTACCTAAATAGGATCTGATTCCACAAAGCAATCTCACCACATCAGAAAAATGGCATAAGACCACCTAATGGTGACGCAGGAAGGAGAAGCTTCTTAGACATGCGTGCCAAAAAGTTGGTGCAATATTATCCTAAACTCTTTACAACACACACACACATATCTATATAGATACATATATATATATATATATATATCCTTGTGTATAAAGTGGGATTTCCCCCTTGTAATGTTTAAAAAAGAGTGACTAATCACTTTTGTGAATGAAACTCAAACTTTTAGATTTCGTTTAGAAGTTTGGACTACAACAAGATAACATGGAGATAAATGAAAGAAAATTGTTTTCTTGCCTTTAGAAATTTAACTTGTTGCTAACGCATACATATTTTCCTTTTTTCCTTGACCCTTTTCTTTCGAATGCAACAAGGAAAATATATAGGCATGGAAAAGGCGAGAAAATGAAATGAAATGGCCATATCAATATGTTGTGGAAATAGATAGATTTCTTTCCTTACACAAGGAGCTTCAAAAAACACAATAATGCTATTCAAGATAGCTAAATTGAGAAATGGTATAGACTATAGAGCCACTTGAGTTGTGTTATTAAGGAATGGGGATGAAGAATAAAAAATCGACATTATCACTGATATTTCAGCAGAAAATTTTGTATTTTGGGAGTACTTTCATGAATATTGTTAAACGTAGTGTGAAATTTTCGTAAAATTTTCCGTAACTATATATATATATATATATAATTTTGAAAATATAAAAGTTATGTTTTTGTTTGTTTTTTTTTTTTTTTATCTGACCTCAGCGTTCCTTTTTTGTTTTTACTTTGCCGTTTTTTTTTTTTTTTTCATTCAAATACTTTACCAACTTAATTTGTGAACGTAAGTAGTGAATGTGTGCTTAATATTGATGGTATTATTATCACACTTTAGCTTATATATTTATTAAATAATGGGTATTTTGATTGAGAGTTTCATTTAAGGGTGGTTCTATTTTCATTCTCTTTTTACTCTCCACAACCTCCATCTAATTACCACTTCACGTAATATTTAAATGATTAAATTTCGTTCTACACACTCCTATTATTTTAAAATTACCCCTAATTAGGTTTTATAAAATCATTAAGAATGGTTTTACTTACACCCCTTATTTTCTATCCACACCCAACCATATCATTATTCTCCACACTCATTTCTAATTAACTCTACAGAAATTAATTATTACTTTAATATTATCTTTTATTCATATCTTTTTTTTTTGAACTATTCTTTATCTAATTAATGTATTATTATCTATATTTTTGAGTTTATTAAAGTCTCGTTGAAAATACAATATGTTAGTACGAATTTTTATTTTTTTACGTCAATTTTCATCAATTTTAATATTTTTATATGCATCACTATTTTCACCCATGATAGGAATAATAGGGATAGATGGAGAAGAATAAGAGTACCGAGTAGGAAAATAAAGTTGATGCTTTGTCGCCGAGCTTTATTTAAAATGTGGGCACTTTTTGACAAAAAGTTGAGGGTCCGGGTTTGGAGGTGGAATCATGTACGTTATTGCAGAGGCATCTCAGATATGTAATGAGCAGTGTGGTTTGTTCAAAAGCTCCCTAATATGTTCATATTGGCTCCTAACTCGTAAAGACGGTTCATGACTATTTTCAATTCTTCTTTTTAAAAAAAAAAAAAAAAAAAAAAAAATTGGTTCATGACTTCATTTTCATTTCTCTATATATTTATTTATTGGGTCATATCATCTCATTAGAGCTTACCTTGGAAAGGTTTTAAAAAGCATGAAATAAGTTGCTATCTCTTAAACCAAACTTTAGCTAAGCCTAACTTATATGTGAACTTCTACAATAGAAACGGTCATTTTTAAGCCTCGTTTATTAATTTAAGTTTTTAATTTAAATTGAGATGTAATTTTATGTGAGAATTTTTTACTGTAACAGAAAAAGTTACATGTGACTTTTTGTTAAAATTTTTAAAAGCTCGTTCATTTCACCGATTCGAATTTAAAATTCGAGTTTTGCTACAGTAAAAAGCTTCCAGAAACAATAATTTTTTTTTTGCTACAGTAAAAACTCTCACATAAAGTCACATCTCAACTCTAATCAGCGAACTAAACGGGCCATAATAAAATTAAAAACTAGAATTGGTGAACTGAACGAGGCTTTAATTCTATATAGGACTATTATTTTAACCATTGAGTTAAAATTTCAACAGTTTAATTTGTGAGTGTTGACATTGAAAACTTACTGTACGTAATAAAATTGCTATAATTAAATATTTGACCGACAGTTAAGTCTCGTTCGTTTTACCGATTCGAGTTTTGTTATAGTAAAAAACTCTTATAAATAGTCACATTTAATTTTTTACTACAATAAAAAATTCTCATATAAAATCACATCTCAATTTAAATTAACAAACTAAGTAAATTTTAAAAAATGTGGACGTTTAATTTATGAATTTAAAATTATAATTTAAAATTATTTTTAATTTACGTATATTTTTTTATAAAAAAATATTATAATTTGAATCATGACATAAAATAAATTAATCAGCTCTCAATTTATAAATAATAAATTGATGACAAGAACTCAATCAATCTATCTGGCTTTTTATTATTTGGGGCCCAAGACACATGTATTCCGCTTTTTGTCAGGTGTCTTGAGCTGCCATTTTTTTTTTTTTTTTTTTGTCTAATCTAGTTCATCGTCTCTCGCATTTTTTTGTTGAATGCCAAAAATATCCAAAAAATTCCACAATTGGAGACGTAAAATGAGAAGAGTGTTGTTACATCATACATGCTAGCCAAACTGTTATTCTTGAATTACATTTAATACAAAATGCCTTGTAAAACAAGCACAGTTCATTTCAAAATTTTCAAGGACAATCACGCAGTTTTATTTTTTTAAAGCAATGCACGCGGTTAACAAAATGAGTTCTTATAATTTGAGCAAACACAAAAGAAAAAATAAATTGAGAAGATAAAAGATTAATTGAACCGGCTAAACTCAACCGACCCACGCATGAAATTTTCAATATAGTTTTTTAGTGCAAAAATTTACAATATATAAACTAATAGATCTTATCTATACCTACCAAAACATATGGCCGAATTGTAACTTTTGAATTGAAATATGACTTAGGTTTGAGAATGTCTCATACATAACTTAATTATATAATGATATTTAAATAACGTTACATTATTGACCTGATAATGATATATCACTTTTTTTTTTACATAATTTAGATATTGTTATACCTTTTTTTTTCCACAATTCGTGGGATATCTATCTATTTTAAAAAATTCAAATCCCAAAAATAAAGTTTTGATTTTAATGATATGCTAGTATTTTAATGATATTCTATTACATTATAATTGATATTACATTATATTAATGATGTTCTATTTTATAATTGATATTAGGATGAGTTGTTCTATTACATTATAATTTATATTATTTTACATTAATGATGCTCTATTAGGATGTGCTGTTCTATTACATTATAATTGATATTACATTTTATTAATGATGTTGTATTTTAATGATATGTTCTATTAGGATGGATTGTGCTGGAAGAGAAAAATATGGCCGTTAGTTATAAACTTATAAAGAAAAAACAGGCAGCAAAATAAATGGAAGGGTATATTTGGAATGTTAAAAAATGTAATTTTTTTTAAAAGCCATATATATGATATTTGAAAAAGTAAGCCACATTTTAATTCAACTCTAAAACAAGTCACATCTTGTAATTTTTACAAATTTTTTTTAGACTTAGGCTTCTTTAAAAAAATGTTATGGACTTTTTTTTCTGTCTTTTGCTTTACCTGTATAAATTGTGGTAAATAGGAGATTTTTAAAATTAAATTAAGTAAATAGTATATTTTAAAATTATTCAAAATAAATAGTAATTTATCATGTAAATATGTCATTTACGACAGTAAAAAAACCTTTATTAATGGGAAAAATTAATCTTTTTAAAAGTCATAAAAAGAAAATTTATGTGAAAAAATTCTTTTTACTAGTCGTAAATATTTATGCTAAATTGTTATTTATTTTAATTAATTTTAAAATTCACTATTTAATTAATTTAATTTTATAAATTTATTATTTACTACCTTCTCCTGTCTTTTTTTTTTCTCTCTTTTTTTCAACCATTCATACAATCGTTGCTTTAAATAAGTCACTTGAGCGCTCGTGTTTTGGACTAGGAGTGAAAAATATCGTTTGATTTATAGATTAGAATAATGAGATTATAATCATTTTTAATTTACGTGTATTTTTTATAAAAAAAATACTATAACGAATTATGAATTATGATTCAAATCATAATATAAATCTTCTTACCAAACAAATGGCTAGTCTTGCTCATGTGTTTTCAAAGGAAATAAATTATTATTATTATTCTTTTAATTTCGATTTATAAAATAAAAAATAAGAAAAACAAAGAGAATCGTGAGGTGGATAACGAGCCCATAAAGGCGGGAAACCAAAAGGGCAAAAAAAAAAAAAAAAAAAAGTGGATCAAAACCTTCGCGAGAGAGAATGGAATCCAATCTCTCCCCCACTACCTGAGCAACTTAAAAAATAAATACAAAAAACTACACAAACAAAAATTCCATTCTTTACGTCGACAAAAATCAAGAGAACAGAAACAACGGAAAATAAATAAAAATTATAAAAACAGAAAAAAAAAAAAACCAAAAAGCAAAAAACAAATCACACCTCAAAAGCAAAGCTCATTCCCCCAAGCAGTCCTTCCTTTCCTTCCACTTCTCTCCGCCATCAACGCGAAACGTGTACTCTCTACTCTCTACTCCACAAATTTTTGCTCTTCTTTTCAACGCCTCACCTGCACTAATTAAAAGACAAAAAAAAAAAAAAAAAAAAAAAAAAAACAGAAAAAAAAAAAAAAAAAAAAAAAAAACGACGATGAGAGGATGAATACGACGCCGTCTCAGCAAAATCCTCTGCCGCAGCAGCAACCGCCGACGATCAGAAAGCTAATCGTCGAAGTCATCGAAGCCAAAGACCTTCTCCCCAAGGATGGCCAGGGCAGCGCCAGCGCCTACGTCGTTGCCGACTTCGACGGCCAGCGCCGCCGCACCTGCACCAAGTTCCGCGACCTCAACCCCGTCTGGAACGAGGCCCTCGACTTCCTCGTCTCCGATCCCGACAACATGGACTTTGAGGAGCTCGAGATCGAGGTTTATAATGACAAGAGATACTGCAACGCCACCGGGACGGCGAAGAAGAACCATTTCCTCGGGAGAGTCAAGCTCTACGGTACGCAGTTCGCGAGGCGTGGGAATGAGGGTTTGGTCTACTTCCCCTTGGAGAAGAAGAGCGTTTTCAGCTGGATTAGAGGTGAGATTGGGCTGAGGATTTATTACTTTGATGAGATTGTTGAGGAGGCTCCGCCGCAACAGCAGCAGCAGCCTCCGCCGGAGGATGTTCCGCCGGAGAAGCCAAAGTCGCCGCCGCGGGTTATGATTGTTGAGGAAGGTGGTAGAATTTTCGAGGTTCCTGCGCCGATTGAAGGTCACCCTCATCCGATACCGGAGGTTGTTCACTCGGTTCCGCCTGTTGTGGTGATCGAGGAGTCGCCGCCGAATGTGGTGCATTATCATGCGGAGCCGACACCGGTGCCGGAGATGGCCGGTCCGCCGACGGAGGCTGTGCATAATTTTCCGGTTCCGGAGGTGAGGAAGATGGAGACTCGGAGGGCTGTGGGAGGCGAGAGAGTGAGGATATTGAGAAAACCTAACGGTGAGTACTCTCCGAAGGTGATTTCTGGAAAGTTCGCAGGCGAAACGACGACGGAGAGGATTCATCCGTATGATCTTGTCGAGCCGATGCAGTACTTGTTTATCAGGATCGTAAAGGCTCGCAGCCTCGCGCCCAGCGAGAGCCCGTACGTGAAGTTACGAACGTCGAACCACTTTGTGAAATCAAAGCCGGCGATTCACCGTCCTGGAGAACCGCCGGACTCGCTGGAATGGTACCAGGTCTTCGCGTTGGGCCACAACAGGCCTGAATCCAATAGCGCGACGTTAGAGATCTCCGTTTGGGACTTACCTACCGAGCAGTTCCTCGGCGGCGTTTGCTTCGATCTCTCCGATGTTCCGGTTCGCGATCCACCGGACAGTCCTTTGGCTCCTCAGTGGTACAGACTCGAAGGAGGTGAGGGAGGTCAAAATTCCGGTAGAATCTCCGGCGAAATTCAGCTCTCTATTTGGATCGGAACTCAAGCAGACGATGCTTTCCCCGAGGCGTGGAGCTCCGACGCGCCATTCGTGTCGCACACGCGCTCAAAGGTTTACCAATCTCCGAAGCTCTGGTATCTCAGAGTTACAGTCATGGAAGCTCAAGACCTCCACATCGCTCCCAATCTGCCGCCGCTAACGGCGCCAGAGATTCGAGTCAAGGCGCAGCTTGGATTCCAGTCGTTGAGGACGAGACGAGGATCGATGAAAAACCACAGCGCGTCGTTCCATTGGAACGAGGACATCATCTTCGTCGCCGGTGAGCCATTGGAGGACTCGCTCATCATCCTCGTTGAGGACCGCACGACCAAGGACGCAATGCTGCTCGGCCACATCCTAGTTCCGGTGAGCTCGATCGAGCAGCGGTTCGATGAGCGCTACGTGGCGTCGAAGTGGTTCGCATTGGAGGGCGGAGGTGGCGGAGGAGAAGGAGGTTGTGGGGGTCCACCATGCAGCGGTGGGGCCTACTGTGGGAGAATCCATCTGCGGCTGTGCTTGGAGGGCGGGTATCACGTGCTAGACGAGGCGGCGCACGTGTGCAGCGATTTTCGGCCGACGGCGAAGCAGCTGTGGAAGCCGGCTATTGGGATTTTGGAGCTTGGGATTCTCGGCGCTCGCGGGCTTCTCCCGATGAAGACCAAGAGTGGAGGTAAGGGGTCCACCGATGCTTACTGTGTTGCCAAGTATGGGAAAAAGTGGGTCCGGACAAGGACAATCACTGACAGCTTTGATCCACGCTGGAACGAGCAGTACACGTGGCAGGTCTACGACCCGTGTACAGTGCTGACCGTCGGAGTTTTTGATAATTGGCGGATGTTTGCTGACGCATCAGACGGGGAGAAGCCCGACTACCGTATAGGGAAGATGCGCATACGCGTATCTACGCTGGAGAGCAACAAGGTGTATACGAATTCGTATCCGTTGTTGGTTTTGCATCGGACAGGGTTGAAGAAAATGGGGGAAATCGAGGTGGCGGTTCGATTCGCCTGCCCGTCGTTGTTGCCCGAGACGTGCGCGGCTTACGGGCAGCCATTACTCCCTAAAATGCACTATCTCCGCCCTCTCGGGGTGGCTCAGCAGGAGGCTTTGCGTGGGGCAGCGACGAGAATGGTTGCCGCGTGGTTGGGTCGGTCCGAGCCACCACTAGGGCCCGAGGTGGTTCGGTACATGTTGGATGCTGACTCGCACACGTGGAGCATGCGGAAGAGCAAGGCTAATTGGTTCCGGATCGTGGCCGTGCTCGCGTGGCTAGTCGGGTTGGCGAAATGGTTGGATGGTATCCGGAGGTGGAGGAACCCCATTACCACGGTATTGGTCCACATCTTATATTTAGTGCTTGTTTGGTACCCGGATTTGATTGTCCCAACCGGGTTTTTATATGTGTTCCTAATCGGTGTATGGTACTATCGGTTTCGGCCCAAGATACCAGCCGGTATGGATACCCGACTCTCACAAGCTGAAGCGGTTGACCCGGATGAGCTTGATGAGGAATTCGACACCATACCGAGCTCAAAACCGCCCGACATAATCAGGGTCCGGTATGACCGGTTGCGGATATTGGCAGCCCGGGTTCAAACGGTATTGGGTGATTTTGCAACACAGGGGGAGCGGGTTCAGGCCTTGGTTAGCTGGAGGGACCCAAGGGCCACAAAATTGTTCATAGGCGTGTGCTTGGCCATAACAATAATTCTCTATGTGGTGCCACCCAAAATGGTTGCCGTGGCACTTGGATTCTACTATTTACGACACCCCATGTTCCGAGACCCCATGCCTCCTGCAAGCTTGAATTTCTTCAGAAGGCTTCCAAGCCTTTCAGACCGCTTAATGTAGATTAGAATAGTATATGATCATTAGTAGCCCAAAAAAAAAAAATTAAAAAAACAGATTTTTTGTTTAGATGCAAAATTTGTGGAGATCAAGAGGGGAAAAAAGTGGTAAAGAGTTGAAAAAATGTGGGTCCTTAAATAAGGTTTTGCTGTGGAGTGAAAAGGGGGAGAAAGTGGCAAGTTGTCATCATGTTCTTTATTCATCTTTTTTGCGTTTGAAATATTGATTGACTAACTATTGAGAACTTGAAATAAGAAAAAGAGAGAGGAGGCAGAAAACAGTTTAGGTGGGGAGAGCAGATTGGAATGCTCTTCAAAAGGAGATCTGAAAATGGCAGTGAGAGTTTTGCTGTAATCATGTCCCGGAAAGTATCAACACTTGGTTTCTTGTCATGATATATAATAATCCATATGACATATTTATCTTCACTGCTAGTAAGTCTCTCTCTCTCTCTCTCTCTCTCTCTCTCTCTCTCTCCTCTCTCTCTCTCTCTCTCTCTCTCTCTCTCTGTGTGATGACTATTTTATTACTTGGATCACTAGTCAAGTGAACTTTGCCAGCAAATTACCACTTGCCTAAGGAATGTCTATATCCTGATCTCGAGTATATGCTGTTGCTTTTTCTTCTTTATTTATAAGACTTTTTAAAGAATGCTCATTTCAAGGGGCAGTATTGAACTGTTGAGACCCTCCCCGATCTACTCTTAGACTTTGGATTATTGGCTAATATTGCATAGCTTAATAGGTGCCTTTTTACATTGATCTAAGTTCTTTATGTTGATCTAATGCTCCACTAGACTTCATAAAACAAATAATTTTAACTCAACTTTTTATGTACACATCCGTAATCAAAATTCATAATTTGTTTTAAGTTTGCTCTACTTTTTTTTTTTTTAATGATAAAGTATGTACTTTTAGACATAACTAAACATGACTTTTAGAAGAGTTTGAAGTTCAGCTATTGAATGCCTTCAAATTCTCAAAGAATAATTTCCTTCATCGATATTCTTTTTGGTTTGGAGCATAAAAGTTCATTACATGGTTGCAGACCTCCATCCCCACTTATTTCTAGGAGCATAAAAGGTATGTTTGGATGTAAAAACTTGTCCAAACCATTATTTATATATAAAGGATCAAGGAATATTATAGTGTGAATGACCAATCAAAAGAAAATACACCAATTTTAAGGTGTCAGAGTCACTTTGGATTGAATGGCATTCAATTGATGAGTAAGTTAGAACGAATCAAATTAGATGGTTTTAGTTCTCAATCTTTCTTATTTGCTCTTACAAAACTAAGGTCAAAATGATTAGAAAAATCAATCATTCACAACCACCAATAATAAAGTATTCCTTTTGAAAAGTTATGATTAATAATCCTTTATAGAAATCAAATGGATTCTGTCTAATACATGAGCAAAAAAAAAAAAAAAGAAAGATGTGCTCTTCTTTCTTTTATCACTTAGGAGCCGTCTCATGCATGGTTTTGAATAATTACACCCTTTTTTCCTTTTTTATTAAGAGTGAAAACAATGAAAGGTGAAAAAATATACTTGCATAAAAAAAGAAAAGCTGTTTATGTCCAAACAAACATCTGCGCCTATTGCCTAGTTTTGGAAAGAGAATTTGGTCCAGAAATCAATGGACGGTACAAAAAAAAGTCGGTAGTTTGGTAGCAAAGAAACGTGTGGGTATTCATATTTCTCGCCAGAAATCAGTTTTAAGGCTTACGTTTTTTGCCCCATCACAGAGGTATAAGAGAAATTGACATGGTCAGAGGATAGTAGAAAAAGGTTCTCTGCTCTTTGTCGAAATAAAATAACTCATCACTTGCTGCAATTTTCCAGGTATTCATTCGTCTTTCCCAAGTTTCTTTCGTCTTTGGGCTCTGGCAATAGGCAAGGGAAAAGTTATAAAGACCACAATGTTTATAGGAAACGAATTGCTCGCTTATGCATTTCAGTCTAGAGTGTATACATACACAAACACATATATACGATTTTTTTCCTTTTGGGATTTTATTTTATGAATTTTTTTTTATAGAAACATGTTGCTCTTCAATACGACATTCCCTTTTGTCAATGAAGCTAATTCAAATTATAATTAAATTATGCACAGTATTTTTTCTTATATAAATTCACTTTTTAACTTAAATTTATTCTTATCGACTTATCATCATCCGAATGAAAAAAGGACATGTTTGAAATTGCAAAGTTTGAGGTCGTTATTTCGAAAATGACATCTTTGATTGTAGCTTGAAAGTTGAAATAGGAAACATTGCATTGTTCAAGTGCAAAGCTTAGTGTAGTTCACTTTAGAACGCATTTTTCCTTTTCCCGAAAGGTTGTTGTTGTTAAGGCTTACAAACGACATGTATTTGGTAATTATTGCTTTGTTGTCTTTTCCTTCTCTCCTTTTTTTTTTTTTTGGAGGGATCTTTTCAGTAAATAAATAAAAAAAAATGGCACGTCTTTCTTGTTTTAAAACTTTGCTCTCATTCATTTCTATAAAGGACGAAACATTTTGCTAGCTCAGCCTCTTATTAGAAAAAGTTTTGGAAAGAAAAAATAATAATAATAAAGGAAATTCTGTTTATAAGCTATGAAAATTTCAAATAAATAGAATGTGTTAGATCTTCATCAAGTTCTATCAAATAATCATACTTCTTTTATTAATCAAATTAAAGGGTCGTGATCATTACACCTTTTCCCGTCCATGAGAAAAACTTGGATGCTTATTATGTGTCTTCTAAAAGCATTTCACCTTGCTTTCTTTGGCAGAGGGAACTACACTACCAATTAGGCTCAAAAATGGGGGGGACAGGCACAACAGAGAAGCATGAAGTTGAAAAGCAACATGAAGAAAAGGAAGAGAAACATGAAGAGAAGAAGAAGGAAGAAAAACACGAGGGAGGAGATGGAAAGGAAGAGAAAGTAGATGACAAGAAGAAGAAGGAGAAACATGAGGAAGGAGATGAAAAGGAAGGCAAGAAGAAGGACAAGAAGGACAGGGAGAAGAAGAAAAAGAATCCCGAAGATAAGAAGGATGCCGCGAAGCTAAAGCAGAAGCTTGAAAAGATCGAATCGAAAATTCAAGCCTTAGTGGCAAAGAAAGAAGAGATCTTGAAACTGATCAAAGAAGTTGAGGAAACTGCCACTGCCACTGCCAATGCCACTGCCACTGCCAATGCCACCCCAAGTTAAAAGGACTGGCCTAATTGCCAACCTCTCAAAAACTAATTTGTGTATTTAATATGAAATGCTAAAATGTCAAATTTAAATAGTGATTATAATGTAGATTATCAATGTGTCCACGGTCACAGTTTCGGAATGGGAAGAACTGTATAGTGATATATTGAAGTTATGCTATTTTATTATTATGGTTTTGAGGGGAGTTGTTGAACCAAGACATTTGGAGTACTTGACTCTCTTTGATTATGTTTCAGTTGGTGATTTTCCTAAATTCCAGTTTGTACAACTGCAAACCCTTTTTCGAAGGACCACCATTAAACTGGATTAGTACTGTTTAATTATCCAATTAATTAATTCTCACTCCTTTTATCAGATTTCATTTAGCCAAACCTCTGCAGAAAGTAAACAGTGCTGTGAAATAGAATTGTGCCTTCAATGAATGGGACCTGTTTGATGTGTATTGCCCAACAAATTTTGTATCATCTTGTTTTAGTAGACTCCATAAGCCCCAAGGGGAATATACTGAAAAGGAACCTAATGTTTCTGTGGTAAAGCTTTTAGTGAGGAACTTTCTACGGTCGAGATGTAGTGTATGTTTCTGAATGTTAGATTTGGTCAAAATGACATCAAAATGAAAAGTATCTCAATTTAACAGAACACAATCTGAATACAGATTCAAAAGTTAGTGTATGTTTTTAAATGTTAGATTTGTTCAAAGTGACATCAAAATGAAAAATATCTCAATTTAACAGAACACAATCTGAATACAGATTCAACGGTTCAAAATAGAGCTCTACCAATAGGGTATGTCTCATATCTTACCGTAGAATTCTCAGTTTTGTAATCGAGTAAAACATGTAAAAACTTTTGACAAAAGCATTTTGGACCCTAGATGGAAAAAGACATATCTGTCTCCATCACCAAAATTGAACCCAAAAAGGGTGTTGGAAGTTTCATTTTTTTTACATAAGAACCTGTGCTTATGAGTCAGTACACAAGGAAACTTCCTCTTCGGCCTTTTTCCATGCACTATAAAACCTTAATGCAACCAGATACAAATCAAGACTGGTAAAAGAACAGATAGATAGTTTCAGTCTTCATTTTCTCTCAACAAGAAATGAGCAAGATCCCAGGTTCATACTTCGATATCGGCAAAAAGGCCAGAGGTTATACTACTGTCTTTTCTCTTCATATTCATCTTGATTTTCTTGACATGCTTATAGTATATGATATGACTTGGTCGTTTTCCTTTTACTTTTGAGTAGATGTCCTCTATAAGGATTTTTCTCAGCAACCAAAAGCCTGTGAAACGACCTACCAAACCTGCGATTGGAGCTTTGATCTCTCCTGTAAAAGTAATCTCCTAGATCAGGTTTACTTTTCAGTTGCCTTTTTCCATGCAACTATAATCTCTCAATCGTTTCTATACACTTGACAATTTGACGGTCATCAAATATGAGACAATTACAATCTTAATCTAAGATGGAATCTCAGAGTTTTTCTGCAACTATTACAGTTCAAGATATCGTCCCCGGACTCAGCGCCGTTGTTGGAGTCGCCGTACCACATTCCGGCGAGGTAAAAAAAAATCTTCTTGGTTTTCCAAACTAAAACTCTTACCTTACGCGGATCCGAATCATGTTAGGCCCTGATTTTTATTATGTATAGCTTTATGCTAAATCAAGAACAAAAGTGACTGCTCTATAAATAGGTGGAACTGCAATACATGCAAGACTACTTTGGAATAACAGGAGGCATTGGATTGAAAGCAGACCCAAGTGGAGTTTTCAGCCCTGTACTCAACGTTTCAGGTGTTGTGGGCAGCAATCTTTTCTCCTTTGGAACTGGCCTAGCCTTTGATGTGGCAACAAGGGCATTGGACAAATTCAACACTGGCTTGAGCTTCAACAGTGACTCGCTTAATAGTTCGTTGATCTTGTAAGCAATTTTACAAAAAAATATCAAGGAGAATTTTGTGGTAGGGTATGCAAAAAAATACATTACAAGTAGGACAGTTTACTATCTTATCATATTAAGAAAAGTACGATAAATTTATCGGAAGATGATGAAAATTTGACAGTTTAGAATTGTGTTGTACTTGTAAGGTATGTTTTTCATACCCTACCGCAGAATCCTCAAAATATCAAAATCCACCCCCTCTGATCAGCTGAGCTAAAGCAATTTTTTACCCTGAATTTTACAGGGATAAGCTTGACACTGTGAGAGCTTCCTGTTACTACACAGTGAACCCTTCAACAAACACCGCCATTGCAGCGGAGTTGAAGCACAGCTTTTCGACGAGCGACACTTCCCTCGCCATCGGTGCACAGCACGCTCTTGTTCCCTTGACAACACTCAAGGGCAAAATAAACACACATGGCAAGGTTGCTGCTCTGATTCAGCAAAGTCTGTGGGAAAAGGTCTTTGTGACTTTAGGCGGAGAAGTGGATTTTATGGACCAAAGGAGGATTCCTAATATTGGTCTGTCTATGGCTCTCAAAGTCTAAAATATAGTAAAGGGATAATGCTTCTACAATATGGAGATAACCGCCTTTTACATTAGATTTCAATAATCTTCCTCAATTAGTTTTTACATGCATTTTGATAACAGTCCACAGTGAAAATTTGAGAAAACAATGTATACGATTTTCTACATAGTAATAGATATATGTATATATAAATAAATATATATATATATATGAAAAATACAGGTATATAAATCTATCTCAGTTTTGGTAACCAAAAAAATTTGATATCAATAAATTAGTTATTTGCCACTAAATATTTAGTACCTGAAACTTATACTTTTTGCTACTAAATACATTTTAATATTAAAAATTTGGTCTTTAAACCTCATATTAGAGAAAGCCCACAAGCACATGATGCTATTCAAGTCTCAACAATGGACCAAAGGAGGATTCCTAATATTGGTCTATGGCTCTCAAAGTCTAAAATATAGTAAACGGATAATCCTTCTACAATATGGAGATAACCGCCTTTTACATTAAATTTTGATTCGTATTTAAGATTTCAATAATCTTCCTCGATTAGTTTTTACATGCATTTTGATAACAGTCGACAGTGAAAAATTGAGAAAACAATGATATATGTATTATAAATAAATATATATATATATATATATGAGATAATTAGACATTCTATGCATAAGACTATAGATTTTCACCTTCGGGGCATTTGCGTTGTACTTTTGTTCCATATAATTAATTAAAATATGGGGATTTTGTCACTCGTGGCAATGTCAAAAGTAATATATATATATATATATATATATATATGGTGCTCTATGTACTTCTACACTTTGACGGACCGAAACATTCACTCTATTAAGACTATCCAAATTGATCTCAACGGTTTAAATTAAAGGATTGGTAATGATGTGACACGCTACTTGTATCAGTGATAAATAGGTTATCAAATGGACTGTAACATTTAATTGAGTGACAATAACGCCTAATATTTTACCCAATGACACACATTTGTTTACTGTTTTTTTCTCTTCTATTACTATAAAAACTCTAGCTTGAAACTACTATAAGTTATTTGTTTCAACTGTGATTGAGACAATTCTTTTTTCTATGTGTTCAGCGAAAAAGTAAACTGAAGATCTATATAATCTAAGTAATTCAAGCATGAAAATCAAGTTTTTGTAAGATTTGTGTGGTCGAAGAACTGGTCCGCCCGACGGACCGTATAGCCTATGTCTATATATATATATATTATATATATATATATATATATATATATATTTTTGAGAGAGAGAGAGAAAGAAAAACTGACCGATATAGGAGTGTAAGCAAATTCTAGTGGTATGAGCACATATTTGAAGTGGAAAAGAGCACATGATTCAAATATCTACTATAACTCGTCAAACTTAGTTCTCACAACTTCAATCCTTAAACCTAAAAATCCATCGTAGATATATGAACATAATTCGCAACCAGGAATAAGAACTTAGAACCTATCATATCATTTCCTAAAAGAGAGAACACCCTGCGCATAAGCCAAGCATGGAAAGAAGATTTGAGAAGTAGAACAACTACTGGTTGTGGTGAGAAGCCTGGAGAAGCCCGTCACGAATTTGACTAGCAACGTCGCGAACAGCGCCAGGTCCATGGGGGATAAACACCGCAGACGATTTCGAGGCAGCACCGATTTCCTTCATGGTGTCAAAGTACTGGGTGACAAGGACCATGTCCATGACATCCTTTGCAGTTGTCCCTGGAACATTAACAGAAAAGCCAAGCACACTGTCTCTCAAACCATCAACAATTGCTTGACGTTGGCGAGCGATACCAAGTCCAGAGAGATACTTTGACTCAGCCTCACCCTCAGCTCGCTTAATTTGTAAGATTTTCTCAGCCTCTGCCTTTTCATTAGCAGCCACCCTCATCCTTGCAGCTGAGGAAAATACAGAGAACGTTAGAAAAGTAAATACTTCAACAGGAATTTTGCATCAAGTATAAAATTGGAGTCTGGATAAACCAGTTTATGAACTATACCGGCATTAATTTCATTCATTGCTCGCTTCACATGTTCATCTGGTTCTATGTCAACAATCAGTGTTTGCACGATCTCATAGCCATAAGCAGACATGGCCTGGATGAAACATTGGACGAAGAGCAGCATTGTTATGATTATAGTGTTATTACAGCCCAAAGTTTTACAATACAATTTAAATACTATGGAAGTTACCTTCTCGAGCTCTTCCTCCACAGCTTTTGCAATTTCATTTTTCTGCTCGAAAGTATCATCCAAGTTGAGCTTTGGAACACTAGCCCTAATCACTAAAATAGAGGAAAAGGCAATCCCAGTTAAGCAATAACAAAAGTCATGTATTTATCAAGAAAATTTTGGAATTACTTGATACTTTCCGAATAAACAGTCTTATTTCTAAAATATGAAGTAGGATATGTTGATTTATACCATCAAAAACGTAGGCCTGGATTTGGGATCTTGTGTTGCTGAGCTTGTAGAAAGCTTCATTAGCTTTGTCTGCCAGGGCACGGTATTGAATCGACGCAACAACATTGACGAACACGTTGTCCTAAAGAGACAATTTTGAAGTTACAAGCAAATGACAATCCAGACATACATGCTTGATAGAAATTAAAGAAAAGTCATGCTCTAGGGGGAAAAAAAGACGACCTATGAACACAAAGTATAAATTATTCCCACTTCAAGTTAGGGAAGTTAACAAACCTTAGTTTTGGTCTCACAACGCACGTCCAATTGCTGCAGACGAAGAGAGAGATGTCCAGAAAGCTGACATCCAAGAAACCATGGCAGGCAATGGCATCCCGGCTCAAGTACTTCCTCAAACTTGCCGAATCTCTCTTTGATAGCTACCGTGGATTGGTCAACTTGTACGCAACATAACAAGTTACCCATCTTTCCTTCTCTGTGATCGTAGCAAATACAGTCAATACTTTATAACTCCTTTTCTTTTCCCTCCAAAAATTGTTAAAAGCACTCTATAAAGTCCTCATCACAAAATGAAATATCACTAAAACAGTCTACAAAAATCCTTATTCCAACATCAAAACATATCATCTTCACAACTACCAATAACCAAGTATCCTCAAACCTATATAAAGTTGACCGTGTGCGAGAGACACAGAGAAAAAGAAACAAAGATAAAAGGGCTGTGAAGTAAATAGATCAGCGAGATTAGGAGAAATTTAAAAGTTAAAACACAGAGTATCAAGGAAACTAATGAGGAAAAACATGACAAAGTCACCAATACCGTCACGATTAGGTTAGCCAAAAGAAATAGAACAAACTAGTTAAACTAGACAGAATATCAAAAAGTAAAAACAAAGAACAAACTACCCCCTTAAAGTTTGTTTCACGTTGCTTAGAAAAATCTGAGACTTGAGAGAGAGAGAGCGGGAGAAACTTACAGCTAATACTAAAACCTCAAACCAAAGGAGAAGAAAGCAAGAACCAGGAAGATAGAATGCCACGACCCGAACAAGTCAAGTTTTATATTCGAGTTCAACATTGGAAAGTGTACAAGTAGAGCATAATAATTTCTTGTCTAGTTCTAATTTGTACATAAATTAACAACCTTATATCAAGTCTTCGGCCTTATCAACAATGAAAAAGTCAACAAACTGAAGGCCCACGTATATCTTCGATTTATGGATATACTTTGTGAGCTGTATGCCTGCACCCACTATTTGACAACAACATTCTAAGAAAGTTTCTTCATAAACCCCCATATAGAAACCAAAGATAGTAATTTAGAAAATAATAATAATACGGTAGGATAAGAGAAAAAATGCTTTCGATAGGCGGAGTTTGACACATTAGATTTGCATCAAGCCCGTAATTCTGATGTGATCGGACGGTTCAAACTATGTTTACCAGTATATTTTTTTTCATACTTTACTGCATAATTCTCCAATAGAAAATGAGTTCAAAAGTAATCATTCACCGTGACGTACTAAGCATAATATTTAGTATAACTTAAGCGCACAAGATCAGCCTCAAAAACACCGGCACTAGGACATAGCATTCTCTATATTGAAATACAACCCAGAGACAGCTTAGGAAATCAACAACAACAAGGCATGAAACAAAAAATTTGCAATAAAGACAAAAATATAGATACATACATATATATATATATATATATAAGAGAGAGAAGTGTCAAATGGGTACCAAGAAAACTAATAATTCTTAGCCGTCTAAACTGAGTACACAACCTGTGGGGTTTCTACGACTCTGTTCCTTTGATAAAAACCACTTATATAATCCGATATTTATACCAAAACCAAACAGTTTCACACAATGAATGGGAAAATTCAATACCCAAATCAATAATTTTGGTACCCACAAACCCAAAAAAAGAAAAAAAAAAACGAAGGATCACAGAAAATATGGTATGTAAAACAGAAAGCGCGTGCATTGCAATTTCGTCGCAAAAATAAATTATGAAGGAAAACCCACATCGGAAACCGAAAAATTGAGAGGAAACACACCGGAAAATTCAGATTACCTTTTTTAGCTTTTGGAGCAAGTAATTGACCCTTCGAAGACGCAGACGAAGAAGAACAGAAAACGTGGTCTTCTGTATTGTGAATGGGTTTTTACGGGAGAAAAAAAGAAATAAGATATTGTTTGTTTCCCTATTTTGGATATATGCTCTCATCAATTTATTTTTTAAAAAAAAAGGAAAAATGGATTGGAAAGGTAAAGGGATCGCATCATGGGCCCGGCCCATCAATGTTTCGTGAGAAGCATTTGTGGTTATGTGGGGACCACATTGATAGATTCGTAAATATCTTCTCTCACTGTGAACTTGGTTTTGAAATTTTGATTTAAGTTTACGATTTTGATTTATGGATAAATTTTATTGTCCCCTCTTGAATTTCGGTGACTTTGTCATTTTGTTTATTAAATTTTCAAAATTGATTTGCGCACACCTTAAACTATAAAACGTTGGCAAGAATAGTCCTTCTATTTGTAACCGCAAATTTAATGCTGACGTGGTTATAATTTCTGTGGGCATTAGGGGGCAATTTGGTAATTCAATATATAAGAGGTTATCAACCACAAAGAATTAAAAAAATTAAAATACAACACGAAGAACTCTAGCCGCTTCTCTGAAACACAAAGAACCAGGAGTAGTGCTCCGTTCTTAAATATCTTCCTCTCTCTCCGAATACATGATGGTATAAAGACGAAGATAACACTTTTTTACTCGATAAATATAAGAGGGTAAAGTGTTTTTATTTTTTATTTTTTTTTATTTTTTTATGAGAAAGGGGCATTCAATCACACTTACTAAATAAATTATCGTTCATAATGATGTCACGTCAATAATCTATTCATTAAATTAACAGAGGGATTATTCTTAATTTTTTAAAGTTTAAAGAGTGTAAATATCAATTTTTAAAGTTCAGGAATAAAGTGACGTAGAGACTAAAATTTTAAGGTAAAAATGAAATTTATCTTTGATTTGAGCTCGTTTGGTTGGAGGATTCGTTTTCTAATTCGAATCATGGTTCATGATTTGCTACAGTATTTTTTTCTCACAAAAAATACACGTAAATAAAAAATAATTCTAATCTCATGGTTCTAATCCATGAACAAAACGGGCTCGATTTGGTTAGATTTTCTTGAGTTATATTGAATATAAGTGTTCTTCCGGCAGGAAAAATTATGCATGATTCCAAGCCAAAAACAAACAAAAGGATCGTATATGACTGTTAAAAGTATAAAAGAAAACATAAGCTGGCCTTTGGCCCTCCTAATGAGGTTTATTTGCATTAAAAAAAGAAGAAAACATTAGAAATTATTAAATATATTTTTATATTTTATGTGTACTTGTATGATGATTGAGACCTATAAATGATGTATTTAACTTTTAAGAAAGCCATAAAAGAATAGTATTATTCTATTTCCACGGAAAATATATATATATATATATATTTGATTCAATTATATATATATATATATAATTGTTCACAAGGAGATTGAATTCTTTCTTTCTTCTACCAAAAAAACAAAATTCAAATGCGTGACGACCACAAGGCGGTTTTGGTGATTTGAACCGGGTTTATTTGAACTCAAAAACCTGAATTGGTGTAATTTATGATACGGATGGTTGGTTTATTGAAATTTAAATTAGTTTGTATTTAGCTTATCGCTAGTATTTAGAGATTAAATTAGTAGTTATTTTTAAATTTTAAAGTTTGAATTATTAGTTATTAGGAGATAAGTCTTAGTTTAAATTAGTTTGAGTTAGATTACGATTACATTTACTCTTGCACATATATTACATTCTCATCAATAGAAAAGTTGTACCATCGTGCTTCAATGTCTAAATCTTGTGTTTGGATAAGTAAAAATAAATTGTAATTTAAATTGGAATAAAATTTTATTTCTTAGATAGAGTATTAAAAATTGTCTTTAGAATTTTGTAAAAAATCTTATAAAATCTCGTTGTAACTGATAAATTATAATATGCAATATGAGCGGTTATTTATTCCTCTCTTTATTGTGACTGCATAGCAGGAAAAAAAAGGCCATCTCAAACAAAGTTGATATAAAAAATTTATGATGTTTTTAAGATTGAAATTAAAAGAAAGAAAGAGAGAAAAGGAAAAAAACAAAAACAAAACAAAACAAAAGGCAACTTGTTTCACTGTAGAAGGAAGATTCAAATTGTTAGAATATAAGGAGAAATGTCAACCTGAATTTTGAGGTTTAGAATTCAAATGTCCAATCGAAATGGTTCTCTACCAAACATTTAAACCTAAATCTGATTCGAATTATGAATCTTAAGTTTGAGTTATCGAATAAAACATGGGTAAATGCCTCATTTTTCCATTAAAAAGGGTTATCTTAAATTAGCACAAGATATTAGGTCAAAAATTTTAAAACCAAATATTCTTATATTATTTAAAATATACAATGATGATAGAAAATTAAGGCCTCGTTCACTTTACGGATTTAAGTTTTCAATTCGATCTGAGATGTGACATTTTCTGAGAGCTTTTCACTATAGTAGAAAAAATTAGATGTGACATTTTCTGAGAACTTTTTACTATAGAAACCTAAAATTGAAAACTCGAATCGGTGAAATGAACGAGGCCAATAATTTGAAACTCTTGCAAATTGAAAATTTTCATAATTAGAAAGAGAAAACGTTGAGCGATACCTATAGAAGTGTGAGAGGGCCTATGACCTTAGTCTAGTGGTATTTAGGAGTTTGAATGAGGGTTGCAGATTAATCCCATGTTATATTAAAAAAAAAAGAATAAGTATCAGAGGAAGCAAAAATAAGTAACAAAAAGTTAAAAGCTTTTTGGATGAAGCTCCAGCACTGTTTTTCGGCACATCATCGAGCTTTCAGCCTATACTGTTTATCGGTAAGATGGTGGTTGGGTTGGTGATTGTTGCTGCGAAGTGGATGAGCTGAATCTGAGGCGAAATATTTGTGGAAGTGTTGGTTGTTTTTGGGCGACTTTTCGTGTGCTTCAATTTCTTGCTTTCTTTAATTAATTAGTTTTGAAATAAATCATTTTGGTACATTATATTATTAGCATTCCGTATTTTTAATAATATTTAAACAGTACTTTGACGATTTTAAAAACACATTCTTGGTACACTGAAATTAATTTTAAAACATGTAATGTCTAAACTACCTTTCTTATTAATTAAATAAATATTAGTATTTCTTAAAAAAAATATGAATATATTTTAAGACATTAAAATATTTAAAAGAGAATAATAAAATAAAAGGTTCATGCTTTTTTTTTTCTAGATCTATTAGATTTTGATTAATTAAATAGAAGAGTTTTAAGGTGATTTTGTATCTTAAAAATCAACTTCAGGGTACTAATAAGATGTTTTTAAAAACGTCGAGATACCACTTTAATATTATAAAAAATACAAAGTACTAAAAATATATTTCGCTTTAATACATGGTACCGAAATGATTTTATCCAATTAGTTTGTAATACGATCTAAGAATAAATGAAACCACCATAATTTTAGGGCCTGTTTGTTTCATATACTCAAACTCATTCTATTACAATATTTTTCTCTCATAAAAAATTTAAATTTCAAACTTCAGAATCAAGAATTATGATTTGAGAATATATTTCAAACGAACCTTTAAAGTTTAAACCGTATTACACACACAAACTCACGAACTCAACAACAAAAACTACACTTATCCTACTAAGGATGGCAATTCGTGTTGGTGGGTCGTGTTCGTGTCTATCCGTTTATTAATCGTGTCAAAAAATATCAACCCAAACACGACTCAGTCATTAATCGTGTTAATCGTGTCAACCCGTATAACCCATTTAAATTCATATATTGAATAAATAACTAATATAATAATGACTTATTTAACACGGTCAAGACAGATTTAACATGTTTATTGGTTAATTTATCTTTTTCTTTAAGAAAAATAAATGAATTTGACCTATAAATATTAAAATTCACATTATTTGTATTTAATATGTCATATAATGTCACGCCCCTAAACCGGGGTTAGTGACGTGGAGGCTCGCTTAGAAACTTAAACCTGTTTGAGAGAGTGATTTGCAAAATAATTTAATTTCTTTCAAATCTAAAACGTCCAGGTATTTCCAAACGAGCCCCTTTTTATTTAGGAGAAATTCAATTTCAAGAACGGTGGTGGAATTTCCAACCAAACCAGTCTAAAATCACGTCCCTAGTATCATGTCAGGAATTCCCACAGGTGTTTAGCATACATGAACATAAACAAAAGTAAATATGACATCAACCACAGTCTAGTAATATTTAAGTTTACAATCCATAATCTCTTATACATGCCTTGAAATAAAAGATGAAAGGAAAGATAACTCTTCACTTTCTGAGGTCAAGTCCACGTCACCGGTAGTAGCTGCCTACTCCGCACTACTCCTCGCGTCTCCTGGAGGGGTTTAATAAATTTGAAAACAGGAAAAGGTGAGCGAAATGCCCAGTAGGATATAATTTTATAAAGCATTTAAAATAAAGGTACTCACGGTCTGAAGATATACACCCGGAACCGATCATCCCTTTTTTTTTTTAAAGAAAAAAGGAAATACTCACATAATAGAATATGTCTGTATAATGAAAGTGTGCAGCTCATCATACCACTAAACAAGAAGCGGTAAAAATGTCTGTCTAAGAAAAGTGCAGAGCCATAATTCCACTAAACAAGAAGCGGATCCTAACGGGTTTCGGGACCTGCCCCCAAGGATGCGATTCCCACATCCCGATCTCTGTGGCCACCATGCGATGGATCATTCCTTAAATAATTCATTTTAAGAAATGATACTCTTTAAAATCTCATTTCCAAAATCATTGGAAAACCTAATAGCATTCACATGCTATTTCTTTTAAAATCATTTACTTTAAACATGTTTTGTTTTAAAACATTTTCATTGGCCAAAATCATTTAAAGTGAGGCTAACAAGGATATGGACAATAATATCCTACCTGTTGGATATCAAACCTGTGGCTGTCTTCACGTAGCCCTAGCTCCGCTTGCCTTTGAGGCTCCAATTCCAATCGTGCCACTAACTTTCCCATCAAAATCAACAATTTAGAGTTTGACCTTTTCATCAAACATCCTCGTTTAATTTGATGCAATTGTATCATATTAGTGTGCCATAGTTCAAAATCAATGTTCATAAACAATTCTTAATTCAAATCATGGTTTTTTGACAATGGAAATTTATTCCGGAGAATCGAATGGAAAACAAGGATTCATGTGGCTAATCCACTCATTTTGAGTTCTCAAATGAGGTTAGGTCAATCCCACATTGAGTTTCGGGGTCAAAATAGGGTTTTTTGGGCTATTTAGGGTCAGTTTTAGTGGGAACCGGTCGACCGGTGACAGAGGAGTGCAACTCCACCGGTCAGCCGGTGGAGAGGTGACCGGTTGACCGAATCGGTCGACCTATGGAAGGGTGACCGGTCAACCGGTGGGGAAGAATTTCCAGTGCCAACAATGGCCGATTTGCGAAGAACAAAGTCAAAAGCTGCAATTTTGGGTCCGATTTTGACATATTCTCAAGGGAAATGTATAGATCCAGTTTCAAATCAACAAATGGGGTCCAAAGAATCAAAAACCCCCAATTTTCATCAAGGTTTCATCAAATCCCATTCGGATTCCATTTAAAAACATAATTTAAACCAAAAGTCACCAAACTCGACTAAAACGAGTTCCACAAAGCCAAATCTGAAAATCTAAAGTAAGTTTCAAAGAGTTTTACCTTGATCCAAGCTTTGATGTTGAAAACCTCTTGGAAACCTCCGTTTTTCTTCAAATCCGGTTCAAGAACATTTTTGAGAGAGAGAGGTAAAACTTGAAAGAAAGAGAGAGGAAGAGATGGGCGAGAGAGAGAGAGAGAGAGAGAGAGAGCTCGGTGAGGGAGAGAGAGAGTGACTAAGAGAGAGTGTGAGTGAAGAAGAGGGTTACGGGAGAAGAGGGAAAAAGGAAAGAAAGAAGGAAAAGAAAAGAAGAAAAAGGAAAATAAAATGAGGAAATGAAATAATAAAGAAAGACAAATAAAAGTAAAGAGGGGTGAAATTGCAAATACTGAAATAAATTTAAAAGCTCATGATTAATTAAGAAATCAATTTAGGCACACTAATAAACCACAATTATCATAATTAAACAACATATAAACTTTCATGTTATATCACATATCATTAGATTGTAGATGACACGTATAGTTGATCGTGTCAATTCGTATTAGGAAGTCAATCTTAATCCAGCCTATTTATTAATCATATTAATTGTGTCAACCCGATTATGACCTAAACCCATTTATACAAAACTTAAACTTGCTAACTTCGTGCAGGTTTCGAGTCGTGTCATTGTGTCGCTACCCGAATTGCTAAACTTATATCCTACCACTAGGGCTATACAACTAGCCTTACCATTTTTAGAAACTTCATTTGTAATGATTTCCATTAATATTACAGCTTTCTTGACAAAATTTTTAATCAAAATCGAGCTAGGATGAGAAAATGAGAATTTAATTCTAAATTTAAATCGGTCAAAATCAAGCCCACGTACTTAACTCAAAATACTCTAGTTCACAAACGTTTTTCTTTGACCAATTTTTGAAAATACCCTTAAAAAGAGTCCCTTTTATTTCTGCAATTTAATATTAGCTTATATATTTTTACTTTTAGATTAAAACTAGTTAAGGAGTAGAGTTTTTTAAAAATAGTAAAAAAGGTATATATTTACTTATTAAATGTAATTTGATTGTATGTACTTACAATAATATAAACTAAACGTGCATGTTTCTACCAAAAATAAAATTAAATGTGCATTTTCTAAAGAGTAAATTGTTTTATTGCATCCCAAACCATTCATCTTTTGCATACTTTCAACTTTAGAAAAATGAATTCTGAACTTTAATATCAGTAACAAAAGTTTAATAACTGATAAGATTATTAAATTGACAGTTTTAAATATGAGATATACACGCAATATTGTTTGAAAAATGATGATATTTACTTTTTATGTGCAAATCTTGTGTCTAATGTCTTAAACCAACAATTTAATAAAGTTCGTTAGCTATTAGATCTCAGTTGCTTTTGATTCTAAAGTTTAGGAATGTGATTTGCTAAAACTAAAAGTTTAGTGATTTAATGTGCAACAATACATTACTCGTTTTTAAATAATCTTAGGACCCGTTTAGTTCGCTGATTCGAGTTTTTAATTCGAGTTGATATGTGACTTTATATGAAAGTTTTTTACTGTAGCGAAAAAGTTAGATGTGACTATTTTTAAAAACTTTGTACTGTACTAAAATTTGAATTTTAAACTCGAATTGCCCGTTTGGTTCGCTAATTCGAGTTTTGAATTCGAGTTGAGATGTGATATTGTGTGAGAGCTTTTTATTATAGTAAAAAAATTAGATGTGACTGTTTCTGAGAAGTTTTTACTGTAGTAAAATTAGAATTCTAAACGCGAATCAGCGAAAAGAACGGACCCTTAAAATATAAGACTTAAAAAAACAAAGAAAAAAAAACAGAGAAAAGATTGGAAAGGATTTCAGCCTCAGATAAAGCTATCAGTAATCTGATTGGTGGACACAAATCGGTGGTTGGATTACACACGAGGAATCAAAATCAATCAGAAAAGAAATGGAAAAAATTTCTTATGGCTTTTGGCACTATCCCACGTGGCATTTTCAATCCACACAGAACAGCTAAATACAATTTTTCTTCTTCTTCTTCTTCTTCTTATGGCTCTCAACGCTTCGCCTTCTTCCACTTCTCTCCTCCGAAATCTCGATCACATCTTACTCCCCTCTAAGCCCTTTCGCCATGGCCGCCAATTTACCTCCCGTCCGAGAACCTCCACGATCGTCGCCATGGCCCCCCAAAAGAAGGTAAGCAATGGTCCACACGAATATAACAATTCTGTTTGGCAGCCGAGAAAACGCTAGAAAAGAACAAACCAACAATTTCCTTTTCCTTTTTCTCAGGTGAACAAGTACGACGAGAACTGGAAGAAGGAGTGGTTCGGCGCGGGGTTATTCTACGAGGGATCGGAGGAGGTGGAGGTCGACGTCTTCAAGAAGCTCGAGAAGAGGAAGGTCCTCAGCAACGTCGAGAAGGCGGGGATTCTCTCGAAGGCGGAGGAGCTAGGGCTAACTCTTTCTTCCATCGAGAAATTGGGGCTTTTCTCGAAGGCGGAGGAGCTCGGCCTCCTCAGCCTCCTCGAGAACGCCGCCAGCTTCTCCCCCTCCGCCCTCGCCTCCGCCTCGCTCCCCATTCTCGTCGCAGCCATCGCCGCCATCGTCGTTATTCCCGATGACTCCGCCGCACTCGTCGTTCTTCAGGCGGTGCTCGCCGGCGCGCTGGGCGTCGGCGCTGTCGGGTTGTTGGTTGGGTCGGTTGTGTTGGATGGTCTACAGGAAGCTGACTGATTGATCTTTTTTTTTTTTTTCGCTCTCATTATTTTTGGTAATGTATTTCTAGTGGTGGTGTTATTTTTTATATTTTTCTTCTTTTCTTTTCTTTTCTTTCTCTGTTTTTTTTTTTTTTTGTTTTTTTTCCCTCAAATAAAGGCTTTGGATGTTTAATGAGAGTGATGATTTCGGGGGAAAGGGAAAAAAAAAAACTTACAATGGTTTCTGCACGTTGTTTATGTAAATTATGATAGTGTTATTTTTATTTCAACTTTTGTACCTCCATTAAATAATTTGGTTAGTTGGTCCTAAGTTAGTTCTAAAGATATTAATTTATATGGAGTAAATAATATCTCGATTAATTAATAAATTTTCACGGTCTTAATGGTATTAATTTATAGAAGTTTAACTGTATCGAGCGTATTTTTTGTCATTAATTTATCTGTATTGATTAGTATTATAGTGGACTCTCAGATTGAGTTATGAATTGATGGTTTGAGTTAAATTTCCTAAAAGAAATTATACCAACAGCTTGAGTCATACTAATACTACGGCAACACTAAAATATATCAAAACGCTATTACATTGATTTTAGAACCAATACAACTGCTATAATTATAATTTACTAAACACTCAGCTGTTTTTTTATAATAGCTGCTTCTTCCTTGAACACAGCTAAAAGTAATTTTTGTAAAATCTACAACACTACTAAACTAAGTCATAATTTAACCTCTTTTTCAAACTAAATATCATAAAATTAGAGTGGTTTAAGGTATATATAACGGTAATTCTACATACAACTTCGCAATAAAATGTAGAGTTCAAATTAGGGTGGTCCTTCCATAAAAGTGGAAGTATTGATTTTAGAACCAACACAACTGCTATAATTATAATTTACTAAACACTCAGCTATTTTTTTATAATAGCTGCTTCTTTTTTTAACACAGCTAAAAGTAATTTTTGTAAAATCTACAACACTACTAAACTAAGCCATAATTTAACCTCTTTTTCAAACTAAATATCATAAAATTAGAGTGGTTTAAGGTATATATAACGGTAATTCTACATACAACTTCACAATAAAATGTAGAGTTCAAATTAGGGTGGTCCTTCCATAAAAGTGGAAGGAATGATCATGTAGCATGTGAGACGCGGTGTCGGAATATATGAGCCAGTAGTAGTATATATGTTGTAACTAGATGAGATGAAGCCCCACTAATTTCCTTCTTCAGTCATTGTTCCAGCAGACGTTCTTTGACATTGTGGTGGGAAAAAAGAAATTATTGTTTGCTCCCCTTCTTCTCTCAACTATGCAATTTTGGGATTTGGAGATTTTGCCTCCAATTTAAATAATTTAGGCCAAGGGAATTAATTATGGCGTTATTAACAACTCTAGCCCCATCACGTGAACTTCACATGCTCATTCCTTCTATCTTTTAACAGTTCTATGACGAAGGAATTGATAATGCAATGTTTGTAAAGTTTGGGTACCAGTAGTGTGATATTTAAAAATTTAAGGGGTAAAGTTAGACAACGAGTATTTCTTTAGGGTCAAAATTAAAATTAACCTAAATTTAGTTTTACTAAATTACCCTTGCCAATGTATCACGTGCGCCTCACATGCTCATTCCATTCATTTTTTAACGATTATGTTATGGAAGAACCAATAGTGCATGTTTGTAAAGTTTAATTGTCAATAGTATGAAATTTGAAAGTTTAAGAGGCAAAATGAGACGAGTCTTTCTCGGAGGTCAAACTTGAAATTAGTCAAATATACATATACCATTAAATAAGAATGTAAAATGGTGATTGTACAATGTCGGGCTTTGGTGGATCTGGAGGGTATGACGTGGTGGAGGTGTGCACGTGTAAGTATTTGACTCGTTGGTGGCGGTTCCAACATGGTCAAAGTACTTAACCTACCTTCAAAGTAGACAACGATGGTAGGACCTCCGACTGTAGTGTGGTTCGCTTAAGCCCAAATTAGGCCGAAGAACACGTGTTCTAGGGCCCTCTTTGTTGCCAAAATCACAAAAATACTCCTGCAAAAAAAAAAAAAAAATGGTAGAAAACCTGGAAAATAATAATGAAGAACTTCGCGAATGAAGAATGGTGGGAGGAGTGATCACATAGTTGATGGAGGAGTGACTCAAGAGGTGGATAAGGCTTTTTGATAGAGAAGGGCTCCAAAAGGATATTGCGGGTTGCTTTGGAGGCTTTGAGTATGTAGCTTCGCTGGTGGATAAGGCACTAATGGAGAAAAGAGCGATACGGAGGAGTCTGATGTAGGTTGTTCTGAGAGCGTGGAGACCGTTTGGAGCACTCCCTCTAACGGTAGAAGAGAGTGACTCTGAGGTTGGAGGCTTGAATACTTTCGGGAAAGTGTGAAGATAACTCTCAGAACACTCTCAGGTTGTGTTGGAAAAGGATTGAAAATTGTTCTTGAGGAGAATCTAAGGAGGTTAACACTTAGAAATTATGAGGTTCCTCAAGAACTTGAAGAAGACTCAAAGTCTTTGTAGCAAAAGACTTGAAGAAAGCATTCAAAGGGAGAGTTTCAGCACTCTGATGTGTTTTCTGATGTACATGTGTGTCGGTATTGAAATGAAGAAGGTGAGAGGGTATTTATAGGAGTAAACGGGAGTGCTTGACAGCTACTCTGACGGAGGTCTGAACACTCATTTCCATTAAGAGGAAGGCTATCAAAGGCCTTTCTTAGTTTGACAAAGAGATGGTTTAGAAACAAATTGGAAGAAACGATTGCGGGCTGTCGGAACATTCCCATTCAGAGGAAATGTGTCAGATAGCTTTTCGATTTTGACAAAGAGACTCACCGAAAATGGGATGAAAGTTTCTGAAAATTTACTCCGGCGGCGTCTTGATGAAGTAAGGCACAAGCAATTCTGTTTGGAGCAAAATCCTAGCTATCTTGTCGGAGGAGACAAAATGACACCTTAGAAGTGGAAATACTTGAAGGCCAAGTTCTGGATTTTGAGCTGACACGTAGTGACTTCAGACCTAAAATCTCCAAGAGTGTTTGACTCAACTAAGTGCTCCGTTCCTTTTTGGGGGTCTGATCGTGTGTCAAACCTTCGTTGGAGATTGTATGTACGAGAATGACCAAGGAACCATTATACTTTCTCTGACAACATATTGCTCCGACACCAAGTTGCTCCGAATGAGCACAAGTAATTAGTCAGATATACATATACCATTAAATAAGAATCTAAAATGGTGATTGTACAATGTCGGGCTCTGGTGGATCTGGAGGGTATGACGTGGTGGGGGGTGTGCATGTGTAAGTATTTGACTCGTTGGTGGCGGTTCCAACATGGTCAAAGTACTTAACCTGCCTTCAAAGTAGACAACGATGGTAGGACCTCCGACTGTAGTGTGGTTCACTTAAGCCCAAATTAGGCCGAAGAACACGTGTTCTAGGGCCCTCTTTGTTGCCAAAATCACAAAAATACTCCTGCAAAAAAAAAAAAAATGGTAGAAAACCTGGAAAATAATAATGAAGAACTTCGCGAATGAAGAATGGTGGGAGGAGTGATCACATAGTTGATGGAGGAGTGACTCAAGAGGTGGATAAGGCTTTTTGATAGAGAAGGGCTCCAAAAGGATATTGCGGGTTGCTTTGGAGGCTTTGAGTATGTAGCTTCGTTGGTGGATAAGGTGCTAATGGAGAAAAGAGCGATACGGAGGAGTCTGATGTAGGTTGTTCCGAGAGCGTGGAGACCGTTTGGAGCACTCTCTCTAACGGTAGAAGAGAGTGACTCTGAGGTTGGAGGCTTGAATACTTTCGGGAAAGTGTGAAGATAACTCTCAGAACACTCTCAGGTTGTGTTGGAAAAGGATTGAAAATTGTTCTTGAGGAGAATCTAAGGAGGTTAACACTTAGAAATTATGAGGTTCCTCAAGAACTTGAAGAAGACTCAAAGTCTTTGTAGCAAAAGACTTGAAGAAAGCATTCAAAGGGAGAGTTTCAGCACTCTGATGTGTTTTCTGATGTACATGTGTGTCGGTATTGAAATGAAGAAGGTGAGAGGGTATTTATAGGAGTAAACGGGAGTGCTTGACAGCTACTCTGACGGAGGTCTGAACACTCATTTCCATTAAGAGGAAGGCTATCAAAGGCCTTTCTTAGTTTGACAAAGAGATGGTTTAGAAACAAATTGGAAGAAACGATTGCGGGCTGTCGGAACATTCCCATTCAGAGGAAATGTGTCAGATAGCTTTTCGATTTTGACAAAGAGACTCACCGAAAATGGGATGAAAGTTTCTGAAAATTTAATCCGGCGGCGTCTTGATGAAGTAAGGCACAAGCAATTCTGTTTGGAGCAAAATCCTAGCTATCTTGTCGGAGGAGGCAAAATGACACCTTAGAAGTGGAAATACTTGAAGGCCAAGTTCTGGATTTTGAGCTGACACGTAGTGACTTCAGACCTGAAATCTCCAAGAGTGTTTGACTCAACTAAGTGCTCCGTTCCTTTTTGGGGGTCTGATCGTGTGTCAAACCTTCGTTGGAGATTGTATGTACGAGAATGACCAAGGAACCATTATACTTTCTCTGACAACATATTGCTCCGACACCAAGTTGCTCCGAATGAGCACAAGTGCTCCGAATGGACAACCTGATACAAAGAAGAGCCAGGAAAGCATGCTTGACATTGGGAATGCTCCGAGAGGCATGTCTGATCTCGAGAAAAGCCTTCGAATGAGCCAAAACTAATGGATTTCTCAGGCCTTTGAGTTGGAGAAAATTTATGAAGGATCAGGCTTGGGTTTTGGGTCTTTCAAGGGCTAAAATACAGGATTTTGGGCTTCTAAAGACAAGGATAAGGCTTTCTTAGATTGAATACTCCATCACCCATTCATATTTAATTTAACTAATTCTAAAAAATCCTTCAACGCGGATTTCAAATTGGGTCAAATTCAGGACAAATAGGTCTATGTGACCACTCATGACCAACCAAACCACAACACACGAGAGTTTTTCAAGCGTAACTTGAGTCCACAAAATGAACTGAATGACGTCACGGGACATAAAGAATTGGGCTTAAACCCTTAATGAGTATGGT